TTTATAGAAATCAAAAGAGAAAAAAGAAGACACAAAAGAAGTAGAAGTCTGGAAGGCAAAATGGGGAAGGTCTAATAGGAGAAAATATTAAAAAAAAAATAGAGTGCAAGCAATATTCAAAAAGTTCACAGTTGAAAAACTTTCCATAACCAAAGAAATATCCTCTTATTTGAAGGAGTAAAACAGATTTTCAACCATGATAGATAAAAAGGAATCCTCATTGTTATGTCTTGCATTGTTATGTCTTTTCAAAAAGCACAGAAGTTAGTATATTAATTTATTTACATAGTTATGGATTGTAAATGATAATAATGACTAACAGAGGCTTAAAAAAGATGAAATTCAACTACCTGGCAGTAACACGGATAATGATAGAAGGCATTCTAAGATCCCTTTATTTTCGATTGTTATCGATTGTTATTTATTGTTATCGATTGTATGTAACTTCATACAATCGATAACAACAGTAAAAACTTAAAAGGTTACCAATGAGAAGATATTTTTTTTTTTTTAACTTGACAGAGAGAGATAGCAAGAAAGGGAACACAAGCAGGGGGAGTGGGAGAGGGAGAAGCAGGCTTACCACTGAGCAGGGAGCCCGACATGGGGCTCCATCCCAGGACCCTGGGATCATGAACTGAGTTGAAGGTAGACGCTTAACAACTGAGGCACCCAGGCACCCCAAGATATTTCCTTATAAAGAAATGTCTTCTCAGTAAGAGAAGTCACAATAAATGAAATATTATCTCTAAAATGCTGAGGGAAAATAATAGTCAATCCAGAATTCTATACCCAATAAAGCTATTAGGCAAGATTAAAAACAAAAACAAAATATTTTTGTGGTCCAAAGACTGGGGTGAGTTTAATCCTTCTCAGACCATTGTTGAAAGAATTTCTAAAAATGGACTCCAACACAAAAAAAATCAAATCCAGAAGGAAGGAATGCATTTCAAAAAGCACAGAAGTTAGTATATTAATTTATTTACATAGTTATGGATTGTAAATGATAATGACTAACAGAGGCTTAAAAAAGATGAAATTCAACTACCTGGCAGTAACACGGATGATGATAGAAGGCACTCTAAGATCCCTTTATCTTCTGAAGGAGGACATAATACTGATTAACCTATGTATTAAAAACTTAAGCATAAGTGCTAAAATGATAGAAATTAACTATCACTTCTAAACCAGTAGAGGGAGGGAAAGGTATTAAAGCAATCAACCTGACAGAAAGCAAGAATGAAGAAAAACATAATCAGAAAACACACAGGAAGTTATATATATTTATATTAGTGATAGCAGAAATAAGCTCAGATATATCAGTTTTTATAATAAATATAGCTTACATCTTAATAACTATGAGATTAGATTTTATTTTAATTAGCCATGTACCACTAATGAAATACACTTTAAAATACAAAGTTTAGAAGTCCTACTCAGTCTTGTGGCTTTTATCATCGAAAAATGACCATCTTTTTTTGCCCAAGATCGCATAAACTCAGGATGATAGAGGGGCAAGTCCCACTTCAGAAGTGAAAATAAGTGTTTATTGATGAATTCTTAAGTCTTAACTGGGGCCTCCCAAGGAACTTAAGAAGCATCAGAGAGAAGAGCTTGTGTCATGTGTCATGAAAGCTCAGGTGCAGGAGAACTGGGGTGTGTGGAATGGAGTGGAAACTGTTTACCCCCCGACCCCCTCTCCCACCCCACCCCGAAAAGGAGAATTCAGAAAGACAGGAGACATCAGAGGCAAAGAAGATGGTCAGTGGTATCTGCTGGAGCAAGGTTGAGCTGAACAGTACTGAGAAGAAGCTTTTAGGTCAAGGTGTAAGAGGCCAGATGAGTGAGGTGAAGTGGCCCCACTGGTAAGAGATTAAGGAGGAAAAGGGAAGAAATTAAAGAAGCAAAAATGGATTTCTGTCTCAAGAAGTTCAGCACCTAAGGGAAGACAGAATGGATGGTAAAGAGAAATTCAGGCTCAAGGGAAGTTATCTTGGAATAGGCAATAACCACTTTTAAGAATAAAACCTTAATTATCTAGAGCCCTCGGGGAAATGAGTTTCCTGGGTAACCATCTTTTCTAGGTGACCTAATGCTGCTTTTTAAAATACCACTGCTAATTTTGACCATTTTTTAAATACTCCGCGTCACCAGCAGTGGCAATATCGGGGTGGTCTCTTGCCTTGAACTAAGGGTGACCCTCCTTTATGACTTCTTCATCTCACCTTGTTTAGAACTCACTGTCGCTGCCCCACAGCTGTAGACCCACAGAGGCCCACAGGGTGGTTCGCCTCTCCTAGGCTAGCCACAGAGAGCTGGCTTGAGTCTTTTCTCTGTTTTTTGACATCTTGGAGCATCTTTCTTTTATTGTCAGCCATCTTTTACTGTAACTTGCCATCATTTTCTCTGTCCAGCATGCTCTTGAGCTGGGTGAGGGTGTGTTCAGCCCAGAGAGATCAATCTACTTGGTATTGACTCAGCCAGGTTTCTTCACTTGAAAGGCCAAAGTCTGGACCACCGCAGTCAATCACCAGGATAATCAACCACTGAGATCGTTGGCAGCCTTTCCCAACGTGGTTCTATCTCACAGACACAATTTAATATAAACCCAAGAGTCCTCTGGGGTGAGCATATGAGAGACTCTTCTGAATATAGTATAAGCTGCAGTGTGTAGTTTTGGGGACATCTATCTGGCTCTTTAGCCAGAGGCCTCTCTGGACTCCTTTCTGTTTGTTTCCTGATCTCAGCAGGGGAGCCCTCCGAAAGGGCTAACTGGCTGCATCTTCCCTCAAGTGTAACTGAAGACATTTCCGAGCAAAGCTGGAAATTCTCTCCATTCAGATAGAAAAGGGTGTCTCTCCTCCCCACCCACTAGCCACCCTCTGGGAGGAAAAGCATTTATTTGGTATTAACTCAAATAGCCTCTCCTCTGCCACCTGTAGTGTGTCCTGCACTCCTCCCCTCTGCCTGGGCTGCAAGAAGACTTGCATCTCAAGGACTTTATGTCCTGGAATCTTAATCCTGAGATCATCTGCTGCAGAGTTTGGTCTTAAATATTGTAACGATGGGCTGGATGCCAGTTGCTTATTTTTATTTAATTATTATTTTTTTAATTTTTATTTTACTTTATTTCTGCCAGTCTCCTTTAGTAGGAGACTCAGTAAATCCATAAAGGGTCTTAACAGAAGAAATAGAAGAGCCTTCTGGTGTTCCGAATTCCATAAAAATCACAGTCCTGAGGGCAAGGCAGAGATATTCCCAAGTAGGGAAAAGCCACTGGTAACATCAGGGTGGTCTGTTGTTAAAGGTCTGTCGTGAAAGCCTTCCAAGAAGCCTTCCTTACAGAGTGACATTTATTATCTTGGTGATTTATCCGAGTCTAGCTTTTAGCTTTTCGGGTTCAGAAACGGGTTTAATCAACATACAAAGAACAGATTCATTGTCAGACCTGGGCTCACCCTAACCAAGCTTACAAAATTGATCTGGAAACCGAGATGCCAGTTGACATTTATATGGAGAAATATAAGTGACTGATACTCTTGGAGTACAATGACTAGCTCATTCCTTCCCTGTAGGCAGGCCTACACAAGGAGCCCGATCAGAATCAGGTTATTTGGTGAACGTGAAATCAGAGTTAACGGTGAATCATGTTTAATGGCATAGGCTGAGAGAGTCATTCATCCACACTAAATATGGTCCTACCAGCAGAACTAAATCTCTTTGAAGTCTGTCAGCGAAGACTCTCTCTGATCAGTATTTGGATAGCCACCTGCCAATGTTTTGTCTCATTTTTTTATGCCTCAAGGCCAACCCAGGCCCACACCCACCAAAATCCCCTCCCACACTGGTTTTTAGATATTAATATTTCCCACTGGCTAATGATGTAATCCTTCTTTTTCCTTAAGTTTAAATCTCTGTGAGCAATCTTATTTTCAAATTCTTGGAGGACCACCGCCACTAAACCTACGTTGATCAAGAGGAGAGTGTGGCATTGATAAGAGTGGGTAGATAGCCCGTCCACACCAAGGCTTATCAGTCCGTTCCCAAACACCTTCACATTTTTACTGTATTCCTATGCTACATGTACTATTAATGTTTTTATTTAAATCAACTCACTTTTTAAAAACAATTTTATTGGGCACTTGGGTGGCTCAGTTGGATGAGCAGCTGCCTCTGACTTGAGTTGTGATCCCGGAGTCCTAGGATCGAGTCTCGCATCGGGCTCCCTGCTCAGCAGGGAGTCTGCTTCTCCCTCTGACCCTTCCCCTTCTTCTGCTCTCTCTCTCTTTCTTTCAAATAAATGAATAAAATCTTTAAAAAAATAAAAACAATTTTATTTTAGAAGATTGACCATACATGGGAAAATTACTATCATTTGTCCTTAAAAAAGAAATTGGCCCCAAAAATAAACACTGAAAACAAAAGCTCTTATGTTTCCCAAGTACTTTTTCAGCTAGGCATGGTTTGTCAAGCAAAGCTCTGAGCCTGAGCAGATCCATATTAAAGGCAGACTCACCCTAAACAAAGACTTTCTCCTTGACATCACCAAAAACCTCAAAAGACTCAACAGGAGACTAATTTAGGAGGTTATTTAATGTAGGTGGTGCCTTGTCCATCTACCATCTAAAAGAATAATCTCACGTTAGGCATCCCACAATTTGGGAAAATATGGCCTAGACTTTTTTTTTTTTAAGATTTTATTTATTCATTTGAGACAGATATACAGAGAGAGAGAGAGAGCGTGAACAAGGGGGGAAGGGCAGAGGGAGAGGGAAAAGCAGACTCCCCACTGAGCCGGGAGTCCAAAGTGGGGCTTGATCCCAGGACCCAGAGATCGTGACCTGAGCCACCCAGGCGCCTCAGCCCTGACTTTTTGAGACTTCAGGGGTATTTGAAAACTGTTTACACAGCTGTAGTGATGCCTTCTTCTCAGCCTCCCCCGACTCCAGATTCTGTCTGATGCCTTACTGTTGGTCTCATTCCTGCTTCTCCCTACACAGGTACACCCTGGCAGCTCAGGACCTGGTGATGCGTGCCCGCGGTGTCCTGAAGGACAGAGGATGGCGGATATCTAATGACCGACTGGGCTCAGGAGACGACATTTCTGTATATGTCATTCCTTTAATACATGGGAACAAACTTTCCTGAAAATGGCCCAGGGCATTGGGAGGACAGCAGGGGAGAAAGCTGGGATACCTCTTAGCAGGATGGGACTGGGAAGTGCCCCAGCAGAGCTCCAGGGGATGCAACCTCTTCCCATCCCAGGTTGGGGGTTTGCTGCCAAAAGTCCTCTGGCTGTACTTCTGGGGGACCCTTAGTTTTCAGTTTCCTCTTCAGTAACAGGTCTGGATACTCAACAGAGCAAAACATAAAGGCTGCTACTGAGTGTTGTGTTTCTTTTGGTTCTTTTAATAGGCCTCCTAGGTGGCCCTTGCCTATTTGGGGTACACATGTCGTATTTATTTGGAGTAGCTGGGCAGCCATTTTCAGGTGTAACTGGCAGAAGACTCTTCAGCTGGTCAAGCTGCCAGCTTCTCTATGGGTTAAAAGTACTGCATTGGAAAGTTGGGGATCATGCCTCAGAAAGTGTAAGCACCCACCTTCTAGTAAGCCTGAGACTGATTTCAGGGAACACCATCTGTGTGTGTGTGAGTGTGTGTGTGTGTGTGTCTTCCTTCTTTCATGGCTATGGTGGGGTGAAGCAGGGATTTTTTTTTTCTTTTCAATATTCCTTGACTCTTGTTTCCCTTCCATAAAACAGGCCTGGGACTTTCCAGTTCCCTACTGAGGAATTTGTGTGTCAAAGTCCAGCCCAGGCTGTCCCCATACCCAGTAGCCCATACCACCCAGGCAGCCTTCTGGAGCAGTGCCCAGGCCGACAGAGTCCTGTCTTTGTTGTGTAACAGTTTGTTCCTGAATTGCATTTTTCTGACCAAATCAGTGTGTTTTCATGAAAATATGGGTGTTTCTTTGGACCAACAGTTCCTCTGTTGTTTTGAAGGATCTCCCTTTTTGTGGCTTGAGATTTCTCTGAGAATATAGGTTTTCATTTCTGGAATAGTTGGCCCTCCCCACCTGCTGTGCCATGGGGACATACGTAAAGCAGTGTTTAAGAGATCAGAACAGGAAGCTCCATATATCAGGTCACCATACCTCATGTGAAGACCATTCCTCCATTTTGGATCCAGGTTCCATGGGCTGTGACTGTGCCCAAGGCCACTCCATGTCAGTAAGTATCCATGTTCTGTCAAGGAGCCACAGTCCTGCTCTCCCCCTTGTCTTTGGGCAAGGCCTACTCTAAATAGCCTCTTGAGAAAAGTGAATCTGAATTGGGTTGACTGGTCATTCTGATGCTGTGAGCCCCGTTCCTTCCCCTTGGACTCCCGTCCCATCCCAGCTAAAGCCCCATTTCCCACCACTGCTCCACTTCTGAGTTTTCCTCACAAGAGCTGCAGAAGCAGTGGACACCAAGTATACCTGCTGCTTCTCTCCCATGAGGAATCACAAAATAGATTTTTTAGAAATTACTTCTCTTAAGCAGACTACTGCTCTGCACTGGAGGACCCTGTAGAGTGATGTCCAGTTACTGAGACTGCTTCCTGAACACCTCCTGTGGCTTCATTGCCATCTTGACAGTTTTGTGTAATTTAAATGTTCTTCCCACCCAATGAAGAAAAATGTCATTGATGTGATTCCCAAAACTGCTGGAGAGCCAATCCCAGCTCCCATGTTTGTTGAGTCCCTTCCCCAGAGGAGAGGAAAGGAACCTTTCCTCCAGGATAGTTCATCACCTTCCTGGAGTTGTAGATATTTTATTAGGGAAGGTCTGCCTGGAGCCTCTCTACTCAGGAATGAATTCATTCCACAGTGTGGAAATGATGCCCTGTCTGGTAGGTAAAGTACCATGGGAATTTACCGAGCAGCTGTTTGCCAAAATGTTGCCTGGGAAGAACTAGACTACCACCTTGTCAGGGGTCATCTTCATCTGACAGCTTCCCTTCTCCTCCAGGAGATCTGAGCGACCCTAGAAGGCTCTGTGGGGACAAGTCCATGTTAAACCATTTGCTTCTCTGGCAGAATGAGATGCTGTGGGACAACATGCAGGCATCTCCCAGCAATGTGGTCCCCCTTCTGTTCCTGCCCTGACTCAAAGTCACATGCAAATGGAAACCAAGGAAGTTTTTTGTGGAGGACTCTGACCTCCCTTCTTTGGGAAGCTGTCCTCATCAGCATTCACCTCTTTCCCATGTTCCCATTGCCTTTCTGTTTTCTCTCCCAGGCTTCTGTGTTGGTCCTGCCTTGAGCTTTTCTACTTTTATTTGAGCCGCTGGAGTCTGACTTTGGGCGTAGATGTCATGAGAGTCTTCTACTCAATTCACCAATTCATGTACTGCCAAGAAATGTCTCAGGAAAAATTCTGGAACCCCCTTTTCCAATTTATCCTGAAATCTTGAGCATTTTGTTCTGCTGGTTTTAGTTAGAAAGGTATCCAGGAATTCTTTTCATAAGCCTCCTTGGTGGAAAGATCTTAGTAAAAAGCTGAAGCCCTATTTCTGTTTGTGGGATAAGAGGAAAATTACAAATGAGATGGATAAATCATATGTGGAAAAAGTGATTTGTTAATGCCCATAGCAGATCTACCCAACACTGATATTGCTCTGTGAATTGAGCTCACTCTGTTTGGCTTTATTTTTTACCCAGGCCTCGTGCCTTCCCATCTCAGAGCAGTAACTGTGTCTACATAACAGGGTTGGCCCTAGGAGCATTCCTGGAGAGGTCAAGAGGCAAGGCAACACACTCAAAATTCTGAAGAACATATTTATATGTGGTTCGGAATTCTTGTGTGTCTGACTTATAGCCAAATCTCCTTGTCCTAATGGCCTCAGAGGAAGTCTTGTTTAATAAAAAGCTTTCGATTTCCTAGTCCAGTGTTTATGGTTGTCTTGGGGCGTGTGTGGCCACTTCCTCTAATGAAAGGTTCTTTCAGTTCTAAATCTCTTTGTTGGGCTGGACCCTGCTCTTCGCAATACCTGGGGACCGTCTTTTCCTTAAAGAGGGCAAACGCACACTCTGTCCACACTCTGTAGCATTTTGCCAGGTGACAACCAAACCTTTGTTCTCATGACACCTGCAGTGAGAGCGCGCCAGTTGGCAGGGATGGAGGGTCTGTTCTGTGGTGGTTCTGCTTACCTAACTGCCATTCCTGGCGTGGGAAGGGAGAGGTGGAAATCAGGCTAGGCCAAGTACTCGGCTGTGGACTAGGATAAAACCACAAAAGTGGCAAATTCAGTCCCTTTCTACAACTTGGGGGAATTTAGGGTGCTTGATCTTTTCATTCCTATCAGCTTACCTCTGTGGGGCTGTGCAAAGTCAGCTGTGCTCACCTTTTTCTTACTCCCAAGTATTCGTTTACTTCTCGACAACAACTACAGCTATAGGTGGATATTGGCAGGCAGGGCGGAGAGTCTCGGGACCCAGATTGGGCCTCAGATCTTGGCCATTTGGGCAGGATTTTTGGTTTACCAAGAGCACAAGCATGGAAATGTGGAAAAAGACTCCCACATCTTTAGAATTCTGTTTCTCCTCTAGACTGCACCTCCTTCCTCGTCTGCCAGTCCTTTTTTTTTTTTCCCAACATGGCCAAGAGTGGTTTTCCACCACAGTTTTCGGCTCTGACCTTTCCTTAAGTGGCCCAGCAGCACTGCTGTTCTCAGAGGGAATGTGTTAAACTTTTATGAGATTCTATTTTCAGCAAATTACCGCTTCTGGGACACTTGGAGAAAGCAGTGAAGAGTCATTGTCTATGCAGAGAACAATCAGGCTGACCCTAAAATTTACCAGATCTAAGAAAAGAAGAAAACAGTATCTGGCCCCAGGACAGGATCTTCCATGAGAAACTTGGAGTCGTGAGGACTGTCCATTTGCAGAGAAGCATAAAAGTCTGCACACCGTGCACGGTCCACCATGTGGAGCTGGCTCTGGGTGGGTGCGGCTGACGTGGCCAACGAGTACACTGGGATTCTTCAGAGGACACCAGCGTGCAGCCTCCTGGCCTCTTAGGCGCCCACCGTTGCAGCTCCTTGTCCGATCTGGTCGCGGGTCTGGGCGCGACTGCTCTTCCTAGTCCGTGATGTTACATGTAAATAGCTTTCATCTTTCCTCCGTGTCTTAGATGAAGTCTTGTTCACTAGCAACCAGGTAGACAGTGACCAAATGAGGCTATAAACATGGTGTTTTCTACTGCGACGTACTTGAAGGAGAACCTTGTGCCCCCTACCCCCAATCTTCCATAGTATTTTGTGTTGGGGAGTCCTGAGGTTATTCTCTTGTTTCTCTTCCATTTTCTCTGTTTCTTCTGGAGACCCAGGGAGGCCCACAGTGGAGATCATTCGTAAGGAATCATCACGGTCTGGGTTTCCAAAAGTACCAGATATACAGGGAATGACAGGAATCTGCCTGAAAATGGTATCAGGACCATGTACCTTTATGTTTTGTGATTGTGAAACCTTGACTTTTGTAACCCCCCAAAATGAAAACTGTTTAGTAAAGGGGATCTATTTTGTGTGTTTCGAAATTTAGGTGCGATGTTCCCTGGAAAAAGCTAAAGAAATGTATATGCTCAGTGACATTTTAAAATAAAATATTATATATATGTATATAGGACACCTTTAGAAAAACATTGTGTTGTTTTTTCTAATTCGCTCTGAAGTTTCTTCATATCAGGTAATGGAATGACAGGAGTGTCATGGCCTCACGGGGAATTACAAACTGTGAACAGATTCGAAAGACAATCAAAGGGGAAGGGATGCCAACTCTATAAACCTTCACAAGAGTAGCAGTAAAGGCTATCCGTTTCAGCAGTGCATCTAGAAGAAACATCTTGGATATTACTATCAAGCATTGCTCCCAAAAGGTATTCTTTTTTCTCTTTTTATTGAGGTATAATTGATACACAATATTACCTAAGCTTCCAGTGTACAATGTAGTGATTTGATCATGTGAATATACTATAGAATGATCATCACAGAAATTCTGGTTAACATCCATCACCTTCCTATTAACAAAAGTATTTTTTTTCTTATAGTAACACTCACTTAGAAACTTTCAAATATGCAATACAGTATTATTAATTATAGTCACTATGCTGTATATTACATCCACATGACTTATTTTATAACTGCAAGTTTGTATCTTTTGATCCTCAGTCACCCATTGCTCCTACCTCTCACTCCTGCCTCTCCCAACCACCAGTCTGTTCTCTGTGCCTATGAATGTTTTTTGTTTTTATTTTTCAGATTCCATATATAAGTGAGATTGTATGGTATTTATCTTATTTCACTTATCATAATGTCCTTAAGGTCCATCCACATGGTCACAAATGGCAAGATTTCATTATTTTTGATGACTGAATAATATTCTCTGTGTGTGTATTTTCCTTTACCATTCATTCATTTATGGAAACTTGGGTTTTTCCATATCTTGGATATTGTAAATAATGTTGCAGTCATCATGGGGGTGCATATGTCTTTTCAAGTTAGTGTTTTCGTTTTCTTTGGATAAATACCCAGAAGTGGAATGGCTGGATCATATGGTAGTTCTATGTTTAACTTTTTTATGAATCTCCATAGTGTTTTCCATAGTGGCTGTGACA